CACACACACACACACACACACACACACACACACACACACACACACACACACACACACACACACACTTTTTACCTTTTCTAAAAATGCCATTACTTTTGTGAAATTAACAATATAATGCTGCACTCTGTGGGGAGAAATAAGGATGAGGGGATACAATACTCCTCATTTCAGGATTTCAGGACATGGTTAGTAATGATGGATTTCAGAATAGTCTTCCAAAAGAATTTTATATTATTGTTAAAATGTCTTTACAAAGCTCCACTTCCACTCATGTCTAACAGGTAAGAGCTATACATAAAGCTGCATACAGTTGCTTGGCGCAGCTAGGAGAGTCTAAAGTTATCAGGCATGGCCGGGTTTTACAATTTTCATTAGTTGGCTTGATAGACAATTGTTAACTGCAAACTGAATGTTCAGTAGCACCACTTGGCTTCTGGAGGACCTTTTTCTAAAACTAGCTAGGTCAGCAGCTGCTACTGAAGATCTTTCTATTGTTGCCATAAGAAGCTCAAATTTTCATTGTTAAGAATGCTGTTCATTGAGATGCAATGCACTGTTTGCAGATATGGGAGAAATCTGCCAGGCTATGGATGCATTTTCTTGGAATTAATAGACCCAGCCAAATGGTCCCATGCCCATGACAAGAATTCAGAAACTACCCAAAAGAAATGTGCATCCATCAGCATTGATTTTCTGAATCTTGCCAGTACAAAATAAAAGAGAACCAGAAAAATGCCCTTTTACCCTGGAATTGGGAACCAAAATAAACCCTTTGTCCTAAAAAAAAAAAAGAAAGAAAGAAAGAAAAGAAAATGCCCTTTTAGAATTCTTAGACTGCATCCAATTTGAAAATAAAACAACTCCTTGTATTAATTTATTATTAAATATATGTTGTTTGTTTCTTTTGTTTTGAGGTAGGGTCTATGTATCTAAAACTGCCTTCAAGCTCACTCTGTAGCTAAAGTTGAGCTTGAACTTCTGATCCCTTTGCCTCTAGTTCTCCAATGCTGGGATTACAGACCTGTACCACCACACCAGTTTATGTAGCTCTGGGGACAGAACCTCAAACTCTGTTATGTTAGATAAGTACTGTACCATTTGAATTATACCCTCAGCTAAAAGTCATATTCTTGTAACAGAAAACATAGTTCACTCTTATTTTTAGGTGACTTTTTATCTTATATAATTTAATCATTTAGCATTGTTTTTTCAAACTATCTAGATTAATAAGTAAGGAAATCACCATGTGGAGAACATCTTCTATGGCTGTCTGTTGTCCCTTAAAATATTATTCTGTTGTGTCTGGGGTTATAATGCAGTTGGTAGAGTGCTTGCCTGTCCTGAATTTGATTCCTAGCACTGAATAAACTGTGCCTGTAATCTTAGAACATAGGAGGTAGATATAAAGCAATCAGAAGTTGTAGGTTAAAACTTCAAGGTCATCTTACACTACAAAGAAAATTCAATACTAACCTGGTATATCTGATATTCATTTGCTTGTAAAAAAGTTTATTCTTTGTAATGTGAATTTAAAAAAATCCTTAGAAAGATGCACCTTCCACTGATTCATCTGAAAATCTGATTAACTTATAGAAAGTAAGTGATTGTGGTGAAGTTGGAATGTTGCAAATCTGAAGCCTAGTTACAATATATTTTGGACTATCTTTAATTCTAAATAGCAATTCCCTGTCCATCTGTGTCTGATCTAATATCTTAATCAGGGTTTCTATTGCTGTGAAGAGAACTCATGATCATGGAAACTATTTTTTTTTTTGGTTTTTTGAGACAGGGTTTCTCTGTGTAGCTTTGGAGCCTATCCTGGCACTCACTCTGTTGACCAGGCTGGCCTCTAACTCACAGCGATCAGCCTGCCTCTGCCT